CTCTGTATTTTCTAGTGATATATCATGTCGTGAGAGAACTCCTAAGTCTCTGACAGATGTGTTAGGGTGAAGCAACTGGCCGTCCAAGATGTATGATCGGGTGGCTGGACGTCTGGTGATACTGATGAACTCCGACTTGCTTACGTTAAGAAGGAGTTACATTTCAGTGGACCACGTTGACAGTCGCTCTAAGTCATGCTGGAGGCGAGCGCAGTCGTCCTGGTTCTCAATGATCCTCCAGGTTTTCAAATCATCTGCAAACAGGGCGCATGGTGATTGGAGCTGCTGCGGAAGATCGTTGATATGAATAAGAAATAATACTGGCCCAAGTACAGTTCCTTGAGGCACGCCACTAGTCGATGGGAACCAGCCTGCCAGGTAGTCATTGATCTGTACTCTAAACTCTCGTCTCACAATAAACTCCTGTAAGCACTGTAGTAACCTGCCATCGATTCCGTATGTCCTCCGTTTACCAAGGAGTACCTCATAGTTCACTCTGTCAAACGCCTTACAAAAGTGCAGGTACATCACGTCAACATCCTTCAGTTCGTTGAGAGCTCGTACCCACTGGTGGTTTGAGTACATCAAGTTGGTGATGCAGGATCGCCCTTTCGTAAAGCCGTGTTGCGCTGGCGTCAATATGTCCATCGATTCGAAGTATGATAGCAGACATATTTTCATAAATTTCTCGAGCACTTTGGATAATATCGAAGTCAAACAGATCGGTCTATAGTTCTCTAGTTTACTCGGATCACCACCCTTGGGAAGAGGTCTCACTATCGAGCATTTCTAGTCGTTCGGGACACATCCTTCAGAGAGCGATTTATTGAAAAGGTTTGTCACGGCTGGTGGGACGATAATCGATAGGGACTTGAGTATTAATGGGTGCAGTCCGTTTGGTCCCGGGGGCTTTGCACCATCGAGGTTGACGAGTAGCTGGTACACTTCGACTGCATCACACTGTAGGCTGTTGAGCAAGACTGGCGCAACCTGTGAAGGTACTGAAACCGCCGCCGGTTTACTGGAAAATACGGTGAGGAAGTGCGTAGCCAAGGCGTCCGCGCGCTCCGCGCTTGAAATGAGCGTCTTTCCGTCTAAGCTCTCTAAGACGGTTGGTCGCCCCCAGGTTTTAGTTGAGGTTTCAAGTAGGCAAATATTCTTTTGGGTGCAGTTGTGGCCCAGGATGCTAGCTGCTCTTCGAACTGCCGGCGTTTCTTGATCTTTACTGCGTTACATACGTTACGCTGTTTCTTGTACACCGTGTAATCTCCATCACAAGCCGAGCTGATGTAGCTATTCTAAAGTTTGCGACGCTGTCGCGCTAACTGTCTACATTTCGTACCAAACCAATGCGGTTTGACAAGTCCGATTATTGAATACTTTAGGGGAACGAACCGAGTACAGAGCGAGTTAAGCTTCCCCTCCATCAATGACCAACAGGCCTCAAGCGACGCATCCTGTGGTAGTGTCCAACCAATCTGACCTGCAACTTGGAGGTGCCCATTGAAGTCCATCTTCCAATAGTTGAATGTCGGCTTCCGGTAAGGACAGTTCTAAGCTTGCGACAATGGAGCTGTGGTCACGGTTCGACAGAGGTTCGATGACTATGATCTCGTTCAGCTTCTGCTCGCAGCTCGTAAACATTAGGTCCAGACAAGATGCCGAGTACGGAGTTACGCGCGTCGGTTGGATGACATGTTACGTTGCCCCGATTTCAAAAGTCATTTTAGCGAATTGTGCTTCAACGTTGTTATGACCAAGAAGAAGTTGTACGTCTGGCCAAAATATCATAGGTAAATTTAGATCCCCATCAGTAAGAACTGAGGGTGGCTCACGTGCTTCTGTACATGTGGTAGCCAATCGCAACAACGGTTTATTGGGCTCCGGTAGATAACCCATACTATTAGTTCTGCGCGCATAAGGTTGACTGTGCACCACAATTACTCGTATAAACTACCCTCGCTCCGATAAGTGCCGGTAAGTATGCCAGAGAGTGACGATTTTATGTACAACAGAACACCACCGTGGGCCTTTGATTTTCGGTCGCATCGGAAACAAGAGTATCCTGACAACACGACTTCTTGGGGTATGATGTCGGAGTTCAGCCAAGTTTCTGCAAGTCCTAAAACGTCCGGCCGCTCAGAGATAGGAAAGCGGCACAGTTCTTCACATTTGTACATTAGGCTGCACACGATGGGGAATACCACACGGAGGTCCTGAGAGGTACTGCGGGAGGTGCCTGGAGGTTAAGCAGCGGTTGATACGGGTTCGTACATCCTTCTTGATCACCCGAAAACATACAATTTGTAAGTCAGTCTCACCTTCCTCTGTATGGTGGTTGAGCTCAATGACCGCAGTCTTCAAACGATCCCTGTCTTCGGGTTCCAATTCTCGGCGGATGTGAACTTTATACCTTACAGTCTTGACAGACGAGACAGGATGAGCTGCGGCATATTGTGATTTACAAAGGTGATTCTCAGCGGTCGACATGACTAGTTGGTTTTTTGGTCAAGTCGGATTACTTGTTTACTCATCACACTGTCTTCGCCCACATGCAAGTGTCTATCGATGAGCCCCTGGAGAAACTCAACATCGTGATCATAACGTAGTTGAGGGTTTTCATCTTGTGACACACGTAGGTGGAAGACCAGAAGATTATGACGCCTCAGCGAAATCGGTGATGAACCTGTGGGAGCAGAACTGGAGGCGTTTATCTGATTGGGTTGTTTATCAGCACGGGACGTCTGAACTCGATTATGTTTGGGAATACACGAAATAAACTGAATTCAGTCTATCTCGCGAAATGCTGGTTGTTCTTGTTCCTTTGGAACTTCTCAAGGGAACTGACCACATATAATTTATTTGACGATGCCCTAAGAGTGCTAAACGCGCAGTTTGCACAGAAATAACAGCCGTGGGCTGGGATCCAGATTGACCACAAACGTCAGTGACAGACAAACGACTGTCGTTAAATTTGTATCATCCAAGTGTGTTACAGCGATTAAGTGTCAAAGTGTTCCTTAAAGTTCAGCTGATTTTACACCCTTATTCATTATACTCTTCACCAAAACATACGCATTCCACACAACACATTCCACTGCAGGTCCAATATGTGCATGACAATAGAGGAGGACGGCCAACCGCCATATCCCACACCCTCCGTAAAAGACTTAGGTGTAGTCTCATGCTACGATTTGAAGTCCGTGGACAACATGAATAGGCTATATCGTAACGGATTGCGCATGCTTTGTGCGCTCAAACATAGCTTCGGCACATGGTCTGAAGAGGTTGCCACGCGCCTCTTCTCTTCCATCATTAGACCAATGCTAGAGTACGGTTCGTCCGCCTACTTTCCGATTACCCGAAGCGAGGCACAAAAGATCGAACGGGTCCAACACGCTGCCACTAGGCTCATCCCGAGTTTATGTGGCTTAGGGTATGAAGACCGGTGCGAGAAACTAGGACTCTACACCTTGTCCTACCATCGGGTGCGAGTCGACCATATTATGACCTACCGTATTCTACATCTCAGTGAACTCCCCATGGTGAGGCCAATGCTGCACTTACGAGGGCCATGCAGCACACGCGGACACAGATACAAACTTGTCGTGCCGGATGTGAAGCGAGTTCCCAACCCACTGTACTTCGAACAGAGAGTGGTAAATATTTGGAACAGTTTGCCTAAACATGTGATGGAGGCAACATCTGTGCAACAGTACAAAACGTTGTTAGATTTATATTTTACCACTATCCGATTCAGAGAACGATTGCACACTTACGATGGCATGTCACATTTGTGAGTCCTGCAATACTGTGAGTCAGATGTTTTAAATGTTACACGAGTACGATAACGATATTCACGACTGACAACTTTCATAACGTTTTTCACTAGATTTCGAAAGAGTTGTATAGAATTCATTGCTACTTCTTCTATAATACGGCATTCAGTAGTATATGGAAGCTGGAAATCAGTCAAGACGATCCCAGGCCGTCACCTATTGCGATTATTGGTTGGGAGAAGGCAAAATCCAGAGGATACGTGCTACTGACGTCCAAATAGGACAAAACGGCCGTCTAGCGCTGTGCTGGATGTATAGTGGGTGTCTGCCTGGATTTAACTGCGATGAACCTTCTCAAAAGAAACAAGAAATCTCCAATTACACTCTAGTAGGTAACCTTATTGTCTGTTATACTGAGCAACGTACTGAATATTGTATGAGAGCATTGGCTGCTAGCAGTGACCGGACGAAAGTGCCAATTTTTACTGCATGCAGTAATCCCCTCTTTGAGGTTAGATGTTAACTCTGCGAAAAAAATCCCGGGTTAATTTGATCGACCTACGTACGTGGTAAAGGCTGATAGTGGGTGTTCACCCGATAGGTTAGCCTGAATACTATTATTATAGAAATATCGATTAACCCAGCTTAGAAGGGTCCGATTGTGACTAATGATGGAACGTCAAACATGTTGATACGAACCAAATTCAAACGAGAATAAAACTGACGGCCCCAAAAACAGCGACGATATGATAAAATATGAACCCTATTCTCGCCAAACTTGCGTTATTCATAAATCCATCGTGAGATGATGAGAGTGCAGAAAACATTTAAAAATACATTGTCAACTTCAAGAGTCTGTCTGGCAACATTTCAGTTGACAGTGGTTCAATGAGTAAACATACTGTGACAAGAACATGCCGATAGGTTTACTATTCATGCGAGAGCATGACCAGAAGTGAGGCGTCCTCATTATTGGCACACGTTCTCGCAACGTCGAGGTGTATTAGTATGAGAAAGAATACCCAAATCGAGTTTGTGGCCCATAAGAGGAAAAAATAAAGTAAATGGCATATCCACAGTAAGTTGAAACCTCGTACAGACGCTTCGATGCCACGAAGTCGCCAAAGGCTGCATTTAATATAGAATATTATCAAGTGGCCCATGGTCGGAGCAAGGGGCAGTTAGCAATGAGGGGAAAATTCTCATACCTCGGGGACCTACCTTGAAGGGAACTTCTTTTAAGAGCAGCTTGATCGCGCAAATCTAACACAATACCCCGATGTCGACCAGCTAAGACGGCGGCAAGCAACTGTTCGTCAGCCTTGCAGCGATTGGCCGGTGTGACTCCAGTACTTGTTGTGGAAAGATTGGAGGACGAAGTGAGATAGGAAATTCCTGGTAGACGAACAGATCCACCTGTAATCCCAATCGTACCGGATGGAAGGAGAGATTGGCCGACATTTGCAGACGACTGAGTTATCAGCGGTTCGCTTGCTATCAACAGAGCAGTCTGGATGAAAGTATTACGAGGACGACACTGTGGTGATAATCCACTATGGCAAGCAAGGCGTTGAAAAAGAAAATGCTGTTAGATGCCTAAACGAGAGAACAAGCATGATGAATCTCAATAAATACTTACATAGGTCTAACAGTGTGATTAGGAAAAACGATGAAGTAGATTGGTGGCACACGTTCTTCTTAATAAGTGGTTACATGGTCTGACACTCGGCTGAGTGGTCTGTACCGACTGCGGGTTTAAAGGTACATGTTGTTAAATGATTAGCCGCAAGGAATGATAACGAAAGGAGAGTTCAAGAGACGCCGACCGTCACCAGCTATGGAGATAACGGGAGGGAATATATCGTGTATCTGAAATGGCACATTCAGTTAAAAATAGCAAAGATAGAAGGAATACAAGTGATAAAATGCATACGTAAACAAATGACTTATATCATATAAGTGCCAGCCGCTGCAACCGGGAAAAATGGTTAGAAATTGTGTGAAGTTCTGGTCAGATAAAGGGGATCCGAACCATTTGGGGTTGTGGAAATGAGAAGACATGGAAACGGAACTTTTAACAGTTAGATGCGAACCACCGCCATCTCCAAGCCACACTATGCCATCAACAGAATGCGGTGAAGTTGCAAAGCGTACTCTTCAATAAGTTTAGTCTTCTGTGATAATGTGTTAAATGGGATGCTAGAGTGAAATAGCAAATCACTCAACAAAATATTCCACTGATAACCCATGAAAAACAATCGCACATTGGTGGGCTGGAAACATTAGCCTCATACATTGTAGTGCATCATCCCCGGTATCCAGCTAGACATGAATGACTGCATGACTTGAACCCAACAGAACCACCTGCCATATGCAAAGAACACCATCTCTCTCTGTTATCTTACCCCTTGTGTGAAGCATGTCGATCCCTATTAGTCAAATACTTCATTATGGACACGGTTCTCGGGTTAACTGCTACCAGAAAAGTGTTATCTAGTCTGCTCAAACATGCTACTTTTAGAATTATATCTTTATGGTTAGGGACATCCAGTTCCGGATTTGCCTGTCATTGTGACCCACAGGACGCCTGCACCTACAGAAGGAGCATGAGTGATCTGCGCTGCACCACCCACAGCTCCAACCACACACCCCATACCCAGTGTAAACCAGAAGGAATAAGACAGGGAGGCGTGTGGATGGGAGCCACGTCTTATCAACGGAGCCGGCCCACACTAACTCGAAATGAATAACAGCAGCTGCAGTCCTGTCTGTCCAATTGGGGAATCATGCGTACAATACGTACACAAGACGGTGCCTGGGCCGTGGTCCGCTCCAAACTGGATGGAACCACTCTTTGAGCTGAGCACCGTGACGAGGACCGTGTATCCCGTTTTCCCAAGTAACGACCGACTGTCTCCTGGAGCCAGTATAATCAAGGTAGCAGTTTTGTGACAGGCAAGTACCTTGTCAACATTCACATCAAGCGCAGCCACACAAGGGATATGAAACAAACAAACAAACAATATGAAATAATAGGCACGCAAACTGGACAGTAACTGTGCAGCATAATGACAAAGCAGAACAAGAAAAATGTGCCTAACATCTGCACTAGTGTAAAAGTGAGCTTTGGCAAGTGTAAGTCGGGGTATATCAACCGACTGGCATGGAAAAGAAAAAGAAAATAAACGCACAAAATAAATGGGAAATATGCAGATGGTTAACAGAATTGGGCAAATAAAATTAAATGGACTTAGTCGAATCTGGGGTAACACGGAATAAGCTAAGTGTTATTCACTCTAGCGCGATATGTGTAACATGAACCACAGCATGAGGGTCAATGTTGTAGACGCTATTAATCACATTTTTATCTTCCTATTCACAACCATTTATCGCACATTTACAACACTGCCTAAATGAATCTGAAGAAATCCCGACTGTAGTTCACTCCGAAACCTTGTTGAAACGAAATCCATGGTGAAAATATCAACGAAAAAGGGATTACATTTGGTCATGTACAACAGTCCTATAATTCCACCTTGGATTTCTCTACGATTGGTGCTTTGCTGGGAAGTTTCCCCTTGTTCAGAATGTACCAGTCAACTATTCAAAAAGATAAGAAGTAGCCCACCAATGTGGCGCCTGGCGGCGTTTGTCCCATATTCGATGAGTCGATCAGGATCAAAGGAGTTCCCAACAAATGTATAGACCCATTGCGCTCCGGAGTACGGCAAAGTGATTGTTTCAAACTATTAGACCAATCTATACAGTTATAAGGCTTATGCAAAAGTGCCATGTGGACGCTTTGTCGGTTTGAGAGTTGACACCAGCGCGCGTTCCCATCGAATTCTTCGGGGTTCAAGCCGTACTCGACGAAATATGCCACCGCTAAGTGGCCAGCGTGACTATTTTACTAATTTTGATGTGGCACACCGATCCTCCACTATCATGGAGGACGCCGCTGTGCAAAGGACAGGGGAAGTCCTCAGGGGTACGACTTCTCTCACGCAACCGGTACATAAGTATGACGTCATAGGTAGTGGCGTCAGTTATAGACAGTAAAGAGCAGCATGGCATACTAAACTCTTCAAAACAACTGTATCAATTTGGTAACAAAGCGATCGCGATGTATCTGCTAGTGCACCGAATTTGAGACCAAGACTGGGTTTATCATTTGTGGTTTCAACTAGTGGTGGAATTAATAAAGAAAGCGGACAGTAAAGTGTCAACACTCGCAAAATCAGAGTCCTAACAAAAGGAGAATGCCTGCAGACCGCATGTGGAAGTGAGCAGATGTGAAATGCAGAAACAACTTTCGACAGGTTTTCGAACAGGAGCGCACCACTCAACCACCAGGAAGGCGTTTGCGGATGAGTGGAATTGTCTTTGACCTGATGTAATCCTGTCATTTCTGATTTCCAATCCTCTGAACTGCCCACAGAAAACGTTATAGTGCACAACACATTTTCACTTGTACTAATTAATGCAAGATCCATAAACAAAAGTTATATTTTGTAAGCATGCTCTACACATCTAAGTGCTTCACATGTAATCGATACTGAAACAAGGTGCTCCTCTGATACATTGGATACTACTTTAGATACTCCTAACTATCATATTTTTCGAAAAGATCACAGCACAAAGAAGGGAGGCGGGTGCATCGTATATCACCATCGGAACTTCGGAGCGGAGTTCACTGACGGCCCAAAGTTCAACTATGTCCCAGAATCTCCATAAAATATCAGTTGCTGCAGCCTCTTCCAGAATACTTCTCGGTTGTATCTACAACTATCCGAAAGCGACATCCAGGGATATTGCAATATCTCTTCGGCGTTTGATTTCGCATCGGTGTTACCACACGGTCTAAAGATAATCGCTGGCGATGTCAATCTATCGAATATTATTTGGTCACCACAAACATCCTCATCAGTGCACACATCTTTCCTGTCGACTAGCTGAGTTCGGGGTTGGAGTCGGTAGGTCACCAGACCAAGGTCTGTGAACGTACTGGAGTTACTCTTCACCCTGGTAATCCCTGAAACACAAACCGACGTCTTAGACAACCTTCTCGGCAGTGACCACAAGATGCTGGCGCTTATCTCGTACATGGAAATGAATGCCAAACTGGACTCACCTACTCATTTTAGAATACAAAGGATTGACTGGGAGCATTTCGGAAAGCTAATATGGTCCTCTAATTGGGATGTCTTTTTTTCTCTCCACTAGCGCCTCCCATTGTAGTGGAACAGTTCTACTATCAGATCATGACAGTACTTGTCCCACAGTATAAACGTGCCATTCCTGGTTCTAAGAGTCAAAGTGACACTCTAAGTGAGCTGGAAATGAGAAAACAAATCGGGAAATTCAGAAAGAGATAACGACCTCCACTAATAGTACAGTTACACGAATCCATAACCTGTATCAAACGTTCACAGATGAAGCGGACTGAAAAACAGGAGAACGCTTTGCGGAGGAGATGCAAAGGAAAAACTCGCAAAATTACTCCGTCATAAGACTAACGGTTGGATGCCTTTGATCACAGAACTGACCGATGAGGAGAATCGCCACCTTAAGGACCCACCTGCTGTTTGTGAAGCGTTTAGCACTTCCATCGCCGTTTCCAGGAACGTAGAAACAGACCACATACCCATTGCCTGGAACTTACAACAAGCGTCATACAGATTGTCGAGAGTTCTCTACCGACCATCCAACAGGCCATGTAGTCCATCAAACCAGACAACGATGGCACCCCTTCATCAGTCAGTAAACTCGGTGGACCAGACATATATATGGTTGGCGGCATCCGGTTTCGGATTTGGTTGTCACTGTGATCAGCCACAGGACGCCTGCGCCTACAGAGGGACCATGGGTGGCTTGCGCTGCAACACCACACTGCTCCATCCACACACCTCATATCCAGTGTAAACCCGAAGGAATAAGACCGGTAGACATGTGGATGGGAGCCACGTTTCAACAACGGAGCCGGCCAACACTCCTTTACAGGCTAACACAAGCATGCTATATTTGGGGAATCAAGCGCACACAAGGCGGTGGCTGGACCGTAGTCCGCTCCATACTGAGTGCATGGAACCACTCTGATCCTAACACGGCCACAAGAACCGAGCACCCCGTCCCCTCTAGCAACAACTAACTGTCTCCTAGAGCCAGTATGGACGAGGTAGTCGGTAATAGACAGGTAGGCACCTTGTCAACATACACATCAAGCGCAGCCAGACCGGGGATATCTACCAACAGCCAATCACTTGAGATGACATTAGCAAATAAAATAGATATGTTAAAGAATACGGCTATGCAGAGATAACTCTTCGCTAAATTAGCATATGAAATAAGTTGATTAGCAATGAATCCGTGATAAGTACCAAATGTGCAGAAGTTACCCAAAAAGGCTACAAACGCAATAAAGTTAAGGAAGATAACAATAATTAGCGTAAGCAAGGTGGATAGTTAATAGAAGGTTACTCAGGTAGGCAAAAGAAACCAAAGAAAGTGGAACGAAATTTATCCAGCTTAAAAAGACCTAGTTAAACTGTAGGTTGGTTTAGTCCAAATGCGGTGAAGAAGCATCATGAATGCAACATCAGCCACTGCTTTAATAAGTACGTTCACTTTGTCGTTAGAATATAACTACGTTCCGGAGCAGTGGAAAAAATTCCTTTATTGTCCCTCATCATAAAGGGTGGGGGAGGGCCAAGCAGCGCGTCACTAATTATCGAGCTATCGATCATTCGCTAGATTACTCGAATAATTAGTTAAAAGTGGCATAATGGAGTTTATTCATCGTCTTGGGCTGCATAACAAATCTAAGCATGGGTTCCTCGATAAACGTTTCTGTACAACCTGTCAGTTGCACGACCTGGATTACAGCACAGAAGCCAGTGACTCCAATTATGCAGTTAAAATACTGTTCCTGGATGTGCAAAAAGCATTCGACAGTGCTGCACAAGCGGCTACTGTAAAGAATCGAGTCATTTGGAAGCAGAGGCCCACTATTTGGTTGGTTGCCATCATACCTAAATGGGCGTTATCAGCTAGTTACTCTTGGTACTCACGACAGTTTCCTCCGTCTAATCACTATTGATGTCATCCAAGGAAGTGTACTTGGTCCTTCCCTTTTCCTACTATATATTAACGGTATCAGGAAGTTCATAAAACATGGCAGGCCATTTTTGTTCGCCGATGACATAAGGATTGTTTATAAATTCGACGAGACGAACTCCATAGCGCAATGCTGCTCATTCAAGTAGACATCGATTCACTTGAGAAATGGTGCGACATATGGATGTTAAATTTCTAAGCTAGTAAATCATGCATTATGTCACACAGATGTTTAATTTCTGAAGAGTCAATTAAACTGAACAATGAACACATCTGTGTGTAACTATCCAAATGTGATCTAGGCATACGATATTCTTCAAACTTTCATATCTCAGAGCAAGCTAAGTAGCAAATGGCACGTGCCAAACGATCTGTGACTAACATGCCAAAAATCAATACAACGCCTCACGGACTCGAGCTTATCAAAATACGCATACTTCCTGTACTTGAATACTGCAGCATCATTTATGGGAACATGCGTATGGGCGACAAGAAAGCTTTGGAAAACCTGCAAAGATCATTCACTAAGCGCTTGTTCAGTAAAACATCCAACTTAAATTATCGAGAACGCTGCCGGCAGCTTAAGCATGAGCCGCTTTGATTGCGACGACTGAAACAGCCTGATGCTGACATGCGGTCTCAAAAGACATGCACCAATTTGTGCATACTAGAACTACAACACATCACTCGAAATTTATGTAACAAGACCTGTAAATTAACATTGCTAAGAACCAGGATAGCTATCCGATCCAGCTCCTTCCTCCTCAGATACGTTATCGTATGGAATAGCTTACCAGCTTCAATCAGGTCTTCAACAAATGCAAGATTCCACATTTAGCTTAGTAAGTTCTTGGACCTGAACTCGATAATGACCATGTTTCCATCGGGTAAATCACCACAAATGTTGTTCCAAAATGGACCAAGAAATATGTAACCAAAGAGAAAAGGTGGTACCCAAAACTCAGAAACAACAAAAGTTATGTGATTCCAAAATAGTTTAATATCACACACCCCAGAATAAATATCTCATGCATAAGCATGCTCATTATTGTTCTCATGATCTGTCCACAATCTAGGGACAGCTTCTCGCACAATCGGAATATATGTATTATTATTAATATTATTATTATTATATGGTGGACAATCATTGCCACAGTAAGAACGTTTGAACCTAATCGGTTGTTTCAAGTTTATGTAGAATAAGAATGTGCCTACGATGGTGACACAGAATGGTAGACACATTAGAGGAGACTGACTGGTTCGCATTGACGATTTCAGTGGTGGAGCAGCAATGACGAAACATGTCACATCAAACGGTTCACAACTGATGAACTTTCAACCAAAATGAATTTATTACACCCTTAGTGACGCGTCCATTTAATGCGGCAAGAATCCGATAGGAATGCATGTTCGGTATTACAATAGACGGAAACTTCTTTGATAACAAAGTATGGGTTACGTTGTATCCAGAGCAGCTACTAAGCAAATTCTATAGCTCATTTTACAATGGTCAAGGGGCAAAATTACCGTTAGCAAGAGTAACTCTCATAGGATGGCAGTTGCTGGTGAGTCACGAGAAATTGAGTAGAAGGTTCTGTGCCGTGCAAGGTGTGACGCATATGTGGCATTGGCCTTAGTTGTCAGCCAATACCCATGAAAGATGAAACAGCATACAAAATGGACAATACCAGTACGCTACCGAATCCGACGGGAGTGAAGAAGAGGGGAATGCATGCGGTGAGCCAATTAGATGAATACAAAGGAAAGGAGACATGTGTAATAGCCAGACAGAAAAAATGATCGATGATAAAAGCGCTTACGTCTCTGGGTCGATGATAATAAACCAGAATTGGAAATCGACCTCCCCTTCGAAAGTTACCGCTTTCCGTGATCACGCTGTCGGAAATATCTGCTGGGACTAACAATTTTTTCGGGTAAGATGGGCATACCTGATCAGAAGAGATGAAAACAACAAGAATGGAGGAGTACTTGAAGCTAATGTAGTCAAACAGGAAGCAAGAAAAGCAAGTGACAAACAGAGAAAAAACATAACACATGATACATACACTACGTACATATATCAACATACTTTGGGGATTCCCTGTTTATGGCAACCAGCTGTCTATGCGGTCCAATCAAAAACATCCCCAACTTTTCTCATATATTTTATTATTGGTCCTTACCTGTGTATCGCATCCAAGAGTCTAGCGCAACCGCGATCACGCGTGTGGGCCCCAGGGCGTTCTAGTACCTATAAAAGGCGACAACCAATAGCACGAATGACTGAGATTTCGTCTTTAAGTGTCGTGAAAATCCGCCACCGTATCACATAGATTGTTTAGATTTCGGCTGGAGATGCTAAAATTGGCCGCACATTATGCTTATATTGTCTGGATAGCGAGGGGAGACAACAGCAGTGCAGTGCATATCTGTGTTTTATGAGTCTACGATTTGTCCACAAATGTACACGTTATCAATAAATCTCGGACACTATGCGGAAACCGTGTGTCGTTGTTTAGGCATGCGATCATTCGGCCTGTATAAATTCATCATTATCACCAACAGGTGCACATAAGCCATTTCAACTGATGCCTCACTCCGCGGTGACATGATTATTATTTCATCATTATACACGTTAGCTACAGATGGAAGACATCATAGGTATTGCGCCACAGGTGGCGGAGATTGGCAAAAGCATCTCGCGCTTTTGCTATACGGTTCGTGATCTCGAATCCGATCCCAAGAACGTTGACACAACTTCACAGGTAGTTGAACATTTGAACGACTTCGGTCTGATCCCCACCAAGGGTCAGTGAAAGAGGTGATCCCTGTCAATCTTGGAAGAAAGCTTTGCACTTCGACGGTGCAAAGCATAGCCCGAAACGGGTGACAACCACTGCCGCCAAGCACGCTCAAGAGCAGTCATAGATAAGCCCAATGTCGTCCGCATACTCCAAGTGGAGAAGTCGTTCATCTGGGAGCAGCTCCACACTTTCCAAGTCGTATCCTGTGAACGCGAATTCCATCGTCAAAAACGAAGTTGAAGAGGAACAGCGACAGCGAGCATCCCTGTCTTACACCGCCGGAGATAATGAAGGGCGGTGACAGCTGGCCGCAAGCCCTAACTCTGCCCCAGCTACGCACGTAAAGCGCTCTGATAATATTTACATACTTCTCGGGCACATTTTTCCTTAGCAAACAGTCACAAAGGGCACCTCAATTCATCGAATTGAAGGCGTTTTTGATATGAGGAACAAGACAACGGTGGGCGGTCAATATAGGTAAAAGTGTGCCAAAAGCTAACGCAATGTGAATATGTGGTCGATGCATTCCCAAGCACGAGGAAACCCAACGGGAATTTAGAGGTGAAAAAGCGTATGAAAGAGAATAAGGAGACGGGAAGGCTTGGGAAGTAGCATCCAAACACCTATCAACCTTGTTCGATGCAACAGATAGGGTACCGTTGATTATACTCTGCGGTGGCCAGATCCCCAAGAAATTGTTTGAGGAAAGATTCATAGTATTGAGTGGGCAGGATACTGTCACGTTGCCCAGGCCTAGACAGAAGAAGGATTGGGATTCTCATCACGGTGACATAAGAAACGAAGAATGACAATATGGAGGGGGAAGTTAGTGTAAAACCTTAATATCCTAGGTAGACATTTAGGGTCAAGGTGCCTACAACTTGTGTGAACAACGCAAAGTCACAAACAGCTATCATGCAAAGCTAAGGAGACATCAGTGAGAGCTTTCTTGCGACTTTCACTGCCCCGCGTCGTAGTCAGCCATTACCCCGCAGATAATTCAGCAGTAAACACACTTGAAACAGGCAGTCCGACTAGGAGACGACAGCAGACACGCCACTGGTGTCGGCCGCTAGCCGTGTCTTCTAACATCTCCAGTCAAACACAGGGCATGTAAGGTGGAGATAAAATTACAGTATTCTGCGTCCAGTTGGAGCGAAATAGTCCCTAGTTAGAGGATCTGACAAATGAATAAATGGTTAATTGCGAAATCACAAAGTTAAAGGAAGTAACATATGAAGAAAGAATATCAGTGATCCGAAAAATGTCAAGAAGCAAAACGTTCGCGAACATCGGCAGATTTCGGAGCAGGAAAGATCCAAATCCTTTGAACCGTAAAGAGAACAGTCAAGTTTTTAAACGACTGAAAACAATGCACCAAAACTGAAAAAATAATATCGAGAAAACGTGAAATGGAGACATAAACACAAGATGTTGGAAATGATACCAGTCTACACGTCAAAGAAAAGTCAGATTATTTGGGTCAACCATTCAAGAACGAGTTTTGCACCTTGCAAACGAAATCGTAACCAGAAGGATAAAAGCGTTCTATATATATATATATATATATATATATATTTATATTTATATATATTTATATATATATATATATATATATATAACGATAAAACGTGGCTTCCATCCACTTGCCTACCGGTATTGTTCCTTCGGGTTTACACTGGATATGGGGTGTGTGATTGGAGCTGTGGGTAGTGCAGCGCAAGCTACCCATGGTCCCGCTGTAGGCGCAGGCGTCCTGTGGCTAGCCACAGTGACAGACAAATCCGAAACCGCATGCCGCCACCCGTATATATATATATATATATATATATATATATATATATATATATATATATATATATATATATATATATATATATATATATATATATATATATATGGTTAGCGGCATCCGGTTTCGGATTTGTCTGTCACTGTGGCTAGCCACAGGACGCCTGCGCCTACAGCGGGACCATGGGTAGCTTGCGCTGCACTACCCACAGCTCCAACCACACGCCCCATCTCCAGTGTAAACCCGTTAGAATAAGATCGGGAGGCATGTGGTTGGGAGCCACGTTTCATCAACGGAGCCGGCCAACACTCCTTTACAGGCAAACACAAGTACGCTGTATTTCGGGAATCAAGCGCACACAAGGCGGTAACTGAACCGTAGTCCGCTCCACACTGAGTGCATGGAACCGCTCTTTGTCCCTAACACGGCCACAAGGACTGTGCACCCCGTTCCTTCCAGCAACGACCAACTATCTCCTTTAGCCAGTATGGACGAAGTAGTGGATACTAGACATGTAGGCCGCTTGTCACGTACACATCAAGCGCAGCCACACCGGGGATATCAAACAACGGCCATTCACTTTAAAAGACAACCTGAAATAAAAAGATCCAATAATGCATACAGATACGGTGGCATAAAATTTCGCTAAATTAGCATATGAAGTAAGTTGGTTAGCAACGAATCCGAGTAAAGTAAGAAATGTCCACCTTTTACTTAAGAATTCTACAAGCGCAGCAAAATTACCGAAGATGAGCGCAATTATCGTACGCAACGTGGACAGTTAATAGAACATTATTCAGGTAGGCAAAACAAACCAAATAAAGTGGAATGAAATTTATCCAGCTTAAAAAGACCTAGTTTAAGTGTAAGTTGGTTTAGCCCAACTGCGGTGAAGAAGCATCAAGAATGCAACATCAGCCTCAGCATGGGGCACACATACGTACATCGTTGTCGGCATCCGGTTTCGGACTTGCCTGTCACTGTGTTCAGCCACAGGACGCCTGCGCCTACGGAGGGACCATGGGTGACTTGCGCTGCACCACCCACAGCTCCAATCACACACCCCATATCCAGTGTAAACCCGAAGGAACAATACCGGGAGGCAAGTGGATGGAAGCCACGTTTTATCGTTATATATATATATATATATATATATATATATATATATATATATATATATATATATATATATATATATATATATATATATATATATATATATATATATATATATATATATATATATATATATATAGAACGCTTTTATCCTTCTGGTTACGATTTCGTTTGCAAGGTGCAAAACTCGTTCTTGAATGGTTGACCCAAATAATCTGACTTTTCTTTGACGTGTAGACTGGTATCATTTCCAACATCTTGTGTTTATGTCTCCATTTCACGTTTTCTCGATATTATTTTTTTCAGTTTTGGTGCATTGTTTTCAGTCGTTTAAAAACTTGACTGTTCTCTTTACAGTTCAAAGGATTTGGATCTTTCCTGCTCCGAAATCTGCCGATGTTCGCGAACTTTTTGCTTCTTGACATTTTTCGGATCACTGATATTCTTTCTTCATATGTTACTTCCTTTAACTTTGTGATTTCGCAATTAACCATTTATTCATTTGTCAGATCCTCTAACTAGGGACTATTTCGCTCCAACTGGACGCAGAATACTGTAATTTTATCTCCACCTTACATGCCCTGTGTTTGACTGGAGATGTTAGAAGACACGGCTAGCGGCCGACACCAGTGGCGTGTCTGCTGTCGTCTCCTAGTCGGACTGCCTGTTTCAAGTGTGTTTACTGCTGAATTATCTGCGGGGTAATGGCTGACTACGACGCGGGGCAGTGAAAGTCGCAAGCTACCCATGGTCCCGCTGTAGGCGCAGGCGTCCTGTGGCTAGCCACAGTGACAGACAAATCCGAAACCGGATGCCGCTAACCATATATATATATATATATATATATATATATATATATATATATATATATATATATATATATATATATATATATATATATACGGGTGGCGGCATGCGGTTTCGGATTCGCCTGTCAATGTGGCCAGCCACAGGACGCTTGCGCCTACAGAGGGATCATGGGTGACTTGCGCTGCACCACCCACAGCTCCAACCACACACCCCATATCCAGTGTAAACCCGAAAGAATAAGACAGGGAAGCATGTGGATAGGAGCCACGTTTCATCAACGGAGCCGGCCCACACTACTTCACAGCCAAACACAAGCACGCTGTATTTGGTGACTTAAGCGCACACAAGGCGGTGGCTGGACCGTGGTCCGCTCCAAACTCGGTGCATGGAACCACTGATCTTAAAACGGCCATAAGAACCGCGCACC